GGGAAGCTGAGATGGAAGCCATGGTTTGTTGTAATTGAGTCTCCGAAGGGACACCCCATTAGAGAGGGTGAATTCATTGGTCCAGCTCACATGCAGGGGAAGGGGGCACTAGGGACAATAACCAGATGGCCGGGGCCATTGAAGTGGGGGAGCGGCGCTGTAGGGGCTTTCTCAGACTGAACAGACAAAGCTCAGAGAGGTGGAGTGATAGCAGCTAGAGTTGGCCAGGACTGCAACCCCAAATACTGTGTGACCTTCACGCTGTCCCCTTGCCTTGGGCCAAAGGTAAGACCTGGTCCAGGCTGAAGTTAATGCGTGAATCTCCTGCACACAGACATGTGTGCTTAAAGAGCTGGCCTGTTCCCATGCTCTTTACACATGTTAGCGCCTGCTCCGGACCGGGGTCTGTGGGAACAGCCTGGTGCAGGTTCCTCCTGGGAGGGGGCAGGGCAGGCTGGGTTGGGGGGTTGCTCAGTGTCCCAGAAAGCAGGAGAGGGGGTTTGTCACACAGACTGGTTCCCGGCTGCTACTGCTTTTGCTCCCTGTTGAATCATCTGGGTTTGGGTTTTGTTCCTAGAGTGCACACTCCCCCGACTTAAGATGCTAAGTGCACATCCTATGGGAATACAAGGTCAGGAGTTTGACTGGGGGAGTGGGGGAAGCCTGGAGCAAGGGGGTCTTTTCTTGGAAGGATTTGTGGGTCGGCAGAGCTGACAGACCCCTGACTTCAGCCAGCTTGGCTCAGCTCCAGGGGAGGAGGGGTCCCAGGCCGAGGAGGAGCCTGCTGGGGACTGGGATGGGGAGGACCCAGCCTGCAGGAGGTGCCAAGGGAAAGGCTGGGATGTGCTTCCTTGCCACACCCCTGCCCTTGGTGACAGGGGCATCCCTTCCTGTCACTTAGCATGTCCCTGAACCTACTTGAGGCAGATGCCATGGTGATAAGGCCCCTCCTGCCGAGACCCCCCCCCACACACACATACACCCATGCGCACCCCACAGATGATCTGCAGGAGTGGGGAGGGATGTACATCTGCACCCCGGCCCCACCCTCTGGCATGCCCAAGTGGGAGCCTGGTGACCCAGGGAAGGGTGCCGGAAGAGGGGCAGGAAGGCTTCAGTTCCAGGCCACCCCCAGGAAGGGGTGATCCTAGTATCCCTGCTTCCTGGGAGCCCCCATTCACTGCCTGCCTGACCTGCTGCAGGCACAGGATCTGACCTAAGGATTTTTTGTCACTCCTGTGCGGCTTCACATCAGCCAGAGTCTCCTGGACTTCATTATGCACCCCCAGCCTTGGCAGCCTGGTGGCCCTGCCCACCTCCACAAACTGCCCACTGATGCTTCCTGGCATCATCCTTTTGGGGTCTTCCAAATGACCTCCACTTGAGACTACAGAGCCTTTGAGTTAGAGACCCCTACCACTGCGGCAGCCCCCACTGCGTAGCCAGTGAAACTGTGGCCCAGGGAGGGGCAGTGACCCCCTCAAGGTCACACAATACAGTATTCTGTGGCGTGCAGCACAACATGGTGGGACCCCAGGGACCTCTAGCTGGACTTGGCTGCAACCCAGCCTCTCTCCTCCGCATACCCCCCCCCACCCGTCTGCCTCCCCGGCTCCCAGTCTCTGTTTTTCTTGCTAATTAGAGGCCTCAGCAAAGACTCTGCTGTCCCAGCCATTTTAGAGCCGTCATTAATTTCAAGTGCCTTCAGAAATCATCATCATCGTGAACCTTGCGAGCTGCTGGGAGGTCAGTGGGTAGGACCGGCATGGGGCAGTGGGCGGCAGAGGATGTCCCTTCTGTGCCCCGCCCCCAGCGTCCTCAGCTTCCCAGAGTGACAAGAGAGTGTGGCTTGGGCTCCAGGCTGGGAAACCCATGGAGCCTCCTGCACTGGCTCTGCCCTGCACCCACGGTGGGCCTGGGGCGAGCCAGCTGCCCTGCTGCAACCTTCTCAGCCAATCTTGAAGGGAGACAGGGAACTGAGGCACACAGCTCAGCTCTGGCTCCCAGTTGGGGTGGCTGGGTTCCTCTCCTGGCCCAGGAACTCTGCGTTCCAAGCATCCAGGCTGCAGCAGCTCTGGTTTCCCACTTTCTTGGGACTGGCTAAGGTCTCAGTAGTCTCCCCTAGGTGCCCACCCACCCTGGAGACATGTAGTTTCCAGCCTGCCTTTAGAAACACCCAGCTGTGACCCCCCACCTCCAGGACCATGTTGATCTGGGGGAGGGAAGACCCCCAACTCAAGAATCGCTGTTTTGTTTGGCTTTGTGTTGAGACACAGGTGCAAGGCAGAGGATGTGCCAAGTGAATGGGGTAGCAGAGCGGAGCTGGGCAGGCAGGCTGTTCCTGTGCTTAACCCCCTGGTGGTGCTGCTGGGCAAGCTTTGGCAGTCTCCATGGCCCTGGGAACACCAGGGGACAGGATGGAGAGAGGCCTGTGCATCTACCTGGGGAAATGCCTCTTGGGTTTTCTGGGGTCTGCAGATGACAAGGTCAAGAACCCCTCCTCCTGCACCAGCCCAGGGTCAACTCTTAAAGTTCTCTTCCCATTCCTTCCCTCAAAGGCCCTCATTCCGGTTAATGCCTGCTCGTTGGAGCCACAGGCAAAGTGCACAGGGCTTGGGGTCTCTTTATAGATGGAGGTGGGGGAGGACGCTGCCCCTTCATCCTTGACATGGCTACAGAGGGGTCCCTTACAGGTGCTTGGACGGATCACAGCTTCCTGAGCCAGCCTCCCGAGGTGGAGACGGGGCAGTGGGCTCGCCCCCATTTCTCCCTTCAGCCATCACGGAGGCAGGGAGCAGGTGAGGCGCAGGCGGAGGTGGGCGCTGGCCGCGCCTTTCCTGCGTCAGTCGCCCTCCCCCGCCCCCAGCGGGTCTGTGCGCCGCCGCCCGCCCGCCGGGTGCCTGGCGGGACCCTTTACGCAGCAAGCAGCCAGCGCGTCTATTCCTGTCGGGCTGGTGGGAGGAGGCGGCGCGGGAGGGCGCGAGAGCTCCCAAGGAACACACAGCCAGCCAGCAGGGGCGGGGGAGCAGGGAGTCTGCGAAGGGGGTCCTGACAGCACAGAGGGGAGGAGGCTGGATGCAGGCACGGGAGGAGCAGCTCCGCCCTCCCTGGCCTCGCCTCCCACCCGTGAGTCCCTGTGCCAGGCCTGCCGCCTCTTGGTTTACTCAGGCATGGTTGACACACACACCTCGCTGGTGTGACCGTGGGCGAGTCACTAGCTTCTCTCATTCCTGGGATTCCTTCTGTCTGTCCCAAGGGGGCAGCAAGTAGCACCTCCTCCCAGGGTTGCTGGACGCCTGCTGGGAGGATGAGGACGCGGCTGGGGCGCAGAGGATCGGAGGAGGGGTCTCCCGCAGCGAGACTGCGAAGTACCCCTGGTTCAGCGAAAGCAGGCAGTCTTCGGACCCTGGGCTGTGGGTGCGTGTGTGTGTGCGCGCGCGCGGCTGGACAGAACTGGGGTGGAGGTTGGGGAGCCGGCCCTCGCACCTGCAGCTGGGAACGGGGCGTGAACCTCAGTAGGCAAGGTGGCGCACCGGGAGGAGGACCCCGAGGGGTCCGCACCCCAGAATCTGAGAGGCTCCGGACAGGTCTGTTCCCTCCCTGGCCGGAGCAGCTCCTTCGCCTGCATACACCAGGTAGCGAGGAGTGCCGCTATGGTGGTGGTGGCGGGGAGTGGGGTAAGGAGTGGCTGCATAATGGGACCAGCTCGTGTTGAGGGCCACCTAGCTTGGGCAAGATGGAAAGAACCCCTTCTTTCCATCTTTCACAACGTGAGCCCGGGAAGATCTGGATCTCCCAGAAGAGAGGTCCCTGGTTTCCGTGGGCCCCTCTGAGAGCGGAATCCCCGCCGTTCTAAGGGAATCGGGAGGGGAGCGGCCCAGCCCAGGCAGCCCGAGGGTCTGCGCTGCCCTCTGCTGGTAGCTGGGTTGTGCGCCCTGGTCGGGGAGCAAGGACGGCTGCCCTCTGCTGGACCGGAGGCAAGGCTGGGCGGGACCCCGGCCGCAAAGGGGAACCTGCGAGCTGCCGCCGAGGCTTCCCGCGCTGCGGGCCTCGCCCCTAAGGCCGCTGGCATGTGGGCCCTCCTGCATCGCGTGGCCACTTAGGCGCGCAGGGGGCCAGGCGCAGGACTGAGGCCTCTAGAGCCAGACTCCCCTCGCCGTCCTCCAAACAACCCTGGGCGGGGCGGGGAGCCGGCCGTTGGCGAGCGCGTGTGCGTCCACACGGCCGTGTGCAGTGACCCAGCGAACACGTGTGAACGCACTCCCGCGCTCACATGCACACGCCTGTGGCCGCACGGAGCCGTACACGCGCGGGGATGCACGCCCAGGGCACCGCCGCAGCCCAGCTGGCCTGGGACCCCGAGGGGCACAGCCCTTGCAGGGTTTGAGCTCCGGGCCCGTCCGGCCGGCGCATACTTGCGGGGCTGCAGCTGGGGCGCACCCCGCCCCCTACGCTGAACGGAGCCCTCCCCACTCTAGTGTGCGGCCGCGCCTTCTCCTCCCCCTCCCAGCTCCTGCCGCTCGTTCGTTCGCTCGTTGGCTCGCTCCCTCCCTCCCTCAGTCCCTCCTCCCTCCCTGGCTCGCTCCTAGCGCTCCCTCCCCGCGCCGCGGCAGAGCGCGGAGCCGAGCGGGAGCCGGCGCGGGAGCCGGAGCGGGCGACGGGCGACAACGCAGGCGGCGGCGGGTGCCGGCCTGGGCCCCGTAGTGCACAGAGTCCCCACCCGCGCCTCCGGTTTCTTTGCGTGCGCGGGGGCTCCAAGCAGCATGCGGGGCCGCTGCCCGCTGGCCCCGGCCCCGCTGCGGAGCGCGCCCGGCCTCGACCCCGGCCCCAGCGGCAGAGGTGGTGGCGGCGGCTCCGGACCAGCCTGGGGGGCAGATCCCGGCTGGTGGAGCCCGCGTCGAGCATCTTGAGTGCGCCCACCTGGGCCGCGCCGCTTCTTCCCACCTCGCCACTCCCGCGCCCCGGCCCCACTCCGCTTGGGCTGCAGCCCGCTTGGGGCGGACAGACGGACTGCCAGCCCCTTCAGGGCGCGCGGACTGCCAGGCGGAGGTGTTGGAGGAGGAGGAGACGAGGAGACGGAGGAGGGGGCTGGGCAGGGGCTGGGGCCGGGCCGGCAGGAGAGACATGCAATTGGGAACCGAACCGAGCGGACGGACGCTGCGCCCGGGATGCAGGTGAGACCCGCGGTTGCGGCTGAACCCGGAGCAGGCGGCCCCCAGGCGAGCTCCCCCAGGGGCCCGTTACCGGCTCACCATAAGCGCTTGGGACCGCGAGGTACCTCAGTACCAGGAGCGGTGGGGTGGGGAGAACCTCCTCTTTTCCCCCTGCCTCCTCTCCCGTTCTGGGCACTGGTCGCCCTGGAAGAAAAACTCCTTGATCTCCCCGCCCCCCCTCTGGGTGGGTGTCTCTTGCCATGGACCCTGGAGATCGCAGGTGCTCCCCTCGGGCCCCAGGGCGCAGATCTGGGACCCGGCTTGCCCACTGGCTCCAGCCTGGGAGGCAGCAGGAGTGGTCCATTTCCAGCTCCTGCCCAGTGGCGGTTGGAAAGCCGGCAATTGGGAAGGAGAGACCCCGGGAACCCCCTGGGTGGCCTCGCCTTTGTCTGCTTTCACCCTGGGCAGCTCACCTCCTCCTGCCCCACTTTTCGATCTGAGGCTGAGCAGTGGGAGGTGGGAGCCTGCTGTGGAAGAAGATGTGGAGGTAGCCTCCTGCTCTTCCTCCCCCTCCCCGTACACACACGCCCTGCCCTTCGTAGGGTGGGCTGCTGTCTTCTCTTCTAGGCACCCCCAGGAGACGGGCTGTGTTTGGTGCCCACTTGTAGGGGGCGGGGTGGGGCCCAGGCCCGAGGCCAGTCCCCTCCAGGCTCCTGTGAGGTCCCAGCCTTAGCTGACACTGCTGGGCTTGGCACTGGCTCTTTGTCCTCAGAGGTCCCCGGGGCCGGGATAGATGGTGAAGGGAGAATTTGGGAGCATGGTGGTAACTTCGCCCAGGTGGGTGGGAGCGCCGGTGGCCTGGAGGTGGGGGGCGGTCCCATCTGGGTGAGCCTCTTCCTGCCAGCCCAGCCCTCCTCCTCTGCTTGGTTTGGGCTGCCAGAGGGTGCAGCCCTGCCTGGCCTGAGGCTAGGGGCTCAGCCCTGACGGTCATTGTACCAAGGGCTCCAACAGGGGTCTTCATGCCTAGAAAATGGTGAGCTGGGTTCCCGGCTCTCGCACCACCACCACCCCCCCCCCCACGCACACACCCCTCTCCCGCCTCCAGGGCGCGTGCAGCTCCTGGCCCTTTGTCCTTGTGGACCAGGAGGGGCTCTCTGCCCTCACTCACAGGGGAAGGTCGGCAGCACCTGGGCTACAGGACCAGTGGAGTGCACCTGTCTTCTGGCCTGGGAGAGGTAGCGGCCCAGCAACTCCTTGGAGCTGGAGCCAACCTGAGGGAGGGAAGACTCAGTTGCAGACCAGGGCTCAGGGTAGCCTCCCCCTACCCCCTAGCCCTCTGGGTCAAGTGTGAGGTTTGATGGGAGCTGGGCTGCCTGTAGGGGACATGTGCACGAGGGACCAGGTGCCCAGGTCGGTGGGCAGCAGGGCGGGGCGCCATGGTGTGTGCATGTGGGAGGGTGGGCAGACCACTTCTTCCTCCCCCTTGCTCCTTGTCCACCTTAGCCCTAGGCCATCTGCTGTAGCCCAGATATAGTGGCCATTGTTTTCTAGCTGGAAATTCCAAAGGGTGACAGCCCCTCTTGTGGAGGTCAGTGGATACTCAGCCACAGGCTCCAATGCCAGAGCCCAGTGGGGTAGGGGCGCGGTGGGGGTGCATTCCTGTGCAGAGGGTGGGGGGAGGGGCGAGAGGGAAGCAGCAGGTGGACAGGGCCATGGCCAGCTGGAGTCCCTGGTCCAGGTGTCCTTAGTGGGACCCGGGCTGCCCAGCACAGAGCCCTGGTCCAGATGGTCAATGTGACAGCTTCCCTCCCCCACTCTCATTGGGCTTGGCCCTTTCTGCTTCTCCTCCTCCTCCTGGCCCCTCCTCCAAGAAGCCTCCCTGATTGCTCCCCCACTCCCCTCCCGCCCCGTGCAGAAACCCACGTGGTTTGCCTGTGGCAAAGGCCCCGCCCATTCATTCATGCATTTATTTGCTTAGTGAATCCTGGCGGTGCCACCCACCCAGCTCCCACCCAGCACCAGGCTGGGGCTTTACACACACACACACACACACACACACACACTCACACACACACAGACACAGCAATGCGTCCAAAGAACTGCTTGAGCGCGTCTGTCCCTCAGGCTCCTGTACCCAGCACCTGGGGTAGCAAGGCACAACAGTGGGCTAGTGGCCGGGACTTAACCTGGCAGGGTGCCAGCTGTCAGTATCCTAGGGTGGGGCTGGCAGCAGGGAGTCAAGGCAAGCAAACAGGTGGGAGTTCTCTCTGGACGGGGGAGAGAAAGGCAGGTGTGCTGAGTTCTTAAGCACTCAAGCAGTTTGGAGAATTGGGGTGCACACTTGGCAGGCAGAATGTAAGGAAGCAGGTGCACTGGGGCGTGCTCTATGCCAGCTGTCCATTGCTGATGTGTGGAATGGACGGCTGCATCCCCACAGGTGCCAGGGGCCTGCTCCCGTGTGTTCAGTCTCTTCTGTACTTCACAGTATAGACCCTTAGGGCCTGCTATTGGAACTTGACCCACGAGCCCATCCCCACTGTGGGATCAGCCTGCTAAACTTGGTCCCTGTCATTGTACCTTGTGGTGCTTGCTTGTGTCTTGCTGATGGACCAGGACTGTGCTGCTGGAAGCCAGCACCACCCAATCCCCAGACCTCTGAGTGGCTTCCTCCCTTTGCTCCGCCAACAGTGCTGCTGAGCCTGTCCATCTCTAGCAGCCTCACGGTGCAGCACACCAGCACGCCTCTAGGGCACGTGGCAGGGAGTGGAACTGCTGAGTGTGTGTGTGTGTGTGTGTGTGTGTGTGTTCATGCCCAACCTTGCTAAGGAGAAGTGCCAACCAGCATGTTTCCCAAATGAGTCGGCCCCCGCTTCCCACCTCTCTCACCTCACCGCAGCCCTCTGGGAATGCCTGCCCGACAGATTGCCTGTCCAGGGGCATATCTTTATGGCTTAGGTTTGCATGTATGTAGTTCTAGGTTGCTGGTGTATGAAGTGGGGGGTGGGAGTCCAGCTGGCAGTGACAAACACTCCTGCAGCACCTAGGTTCTCCCACTTGGCAGGGTGCTGTGGGTGCAGGAGGGGCAGAGGGGATACCCCAAAACTATTGGGAAGAAAGCGGAAGCTCAGGGGTAGGAGGGGGGAAACTGTCATGGCTGCGGATTCACCTCCAGAGTGGGAGTGAATGTTTTAACACCACTCCCGCACCGTGCCCTGAGATCTCCCCTGGCACTCGCCATGGGGCTTGGCTTTGTAGAGGGCTTAGGGGAAGTCACCAGGCACTGGACACTGGATGGACCAATACATTTGTCCCTCCTGCCTTCTGCCTCACATACTTTGTCTTGGGTGCCAGGCAGGGCGTCTCCCAGCTGGGGGGGGCCTTTGGGATGCAGTTGAGGGGGGCCTCTGGGATGCAGCTCAGGAGGGCGAGCACACTTTGCTTGCTTACTTCTCGTAGTAGGTTCCTCACTCCCTGCCCCAGGCAGGGCTTCAGTCTTGAACTGCCCGTGTCCTCACTGATCTGCGGCTCCACCCTCTGCACCTTTCAGATTGGCACGTGTGCCCATTGCCACTCCCCAAGCTGGCACCAGGCTGAGGGCAGCAGCTGTACCTTGGCAGAGCCTGCATACATCTGGCCAGAGGGTGCCAGCACCTCCTTGATGTTGCACTCTGTGACTGGCTTGGGGCAGTGGGCACTGGCCAAGGGTTGGCCAGCATTCAAGTGCACAGGGAGGGCTTGAGTGAGCAGCCAAGGCCAGTGCAGGGCGAGCAATTGTATTTATAGTTGGTGGGGCTGCGGTATAAATAACTCAGTGGACCTTGGTCTGGGATGCATGTGGGGGTAGATTTTAAATCTCCCCCACCCCTTTGCGAAGCAGAAATAACCCCAGCCAGCACCCAGTCCTGACCTCGCCTCGCCTGAGTGGCAGCTTGGCTGCCATCCCAGGACACTCACTCGGAAGGGGGCTGCAGCCAGGCACTGCCTGCCTGCTTAGTGTAGCCTCATTGACTGCATGATGGGCTCTGGGGTCATCCATCCCTGGGGTCACCCTTGACAGGTGAACCAGGGCTCTGAGCTGTTGTTGCCTCTCTGTGCCTCAGTGCACCCATCAGAAAAATGGGAATGCGGAGGTGGTGGTGGCCAGAGGTGGTGTCCTGTGTTGGTTCGTGGGACTGTAGCCCAACTGACCTGTGACCTGGAGCAAGTGACACCCCCTGCCCTCTCTCCCCAACACAGCAGCTATTGGAAATTCCATGAATTTCCAGAGGTTGGTGCTCAGGGTAATCTGGACTCCCAGAGTCCTCAAGGTGGGGTGTCTTACTTTCATCCTCCTCTTCCTCCTCCTCCTCCTCAGGTGCATGTCAGACCTCTACAGACCTGGAATGCCGGGCCAGTTCCACTGTTCTCTGCATCAGTCCTGTGTCCACCCTAGGTTAACCGGGTTTTGCCCCTACCCCACTCCCAAGACCAAGAAAGACCTGGGATAAGTGGAGTTCAGTTCAGGGAGCTCCCAGGGTGGGGCCAAGATCTGGTACCCTCCAGCCCCAGGGAAGGGAGATGCCAGGGGTGGGGGTTTGAAGGGTCCCTCAGCATCTGCTCCCACCCTCAGTCCTCCTGGTACCTGTCCGTAGCTCTGGGACAGCCCCCATCCAGTGGGAAGTGCAGTCCCTCAGGTGGGTGTGGCACACACAGAGCATCCTTCTCCCTCCTCATCCAGGCAGGTCCCAGGGTCACATAGCAGGGCAGGGACCAGCCACTCTCTGGCCCTGCTCTGGGCCCTGCCCCACCCCTACTGTTCCCCACCAACACTTGGCCACTCTGCTGGCAGAGGGCAGAGCCTATATATAGCAGCTGGCAAACACTCAGAGGCTTTCACAATTAAAATTCATAATTTATCCCACAATGGCCTGGGGCTGCGGGCAGGCCGACAGGAAGGCTGGCTGCTTCCCCCTTACCTCAGCCAGGGTGTGGACATGGGCGTGGCTCCCTCAAGTCCAAAGGCCCAGGCTACAAGCCCAGTGTGGCTGCAGGGGGCCGGCGGGGGGGGGAGCAGTGGACCTGGTGTCCCCCACCTCCAGCAGGTGGGTGGGCCACTGGGTGATACATTGCCTGTGGAGGCCAGGGCAGCATATTGGGAGAAGATTGAGCTCCCTGATGTGCCTAAGAAGTGGGGGCCAGGGAGTGGGGATGGGGAGCAGAGGGAGCCCCCCCATACACAGACCACACATGGAGGCCTTTCTCTGTCACACAGATTCTCACCCCGGGGGCCCAGCAGCTCTGCTAGAACCCAGAGCAACAGGAAAATAAAGAATTATCCACGACAAAGGACGTGACCTCAATTTTCTTCCACGTGGATTTTTCTCTCCCCTGCGGGGGTGGCCGCAAGGGGAGTGGGGGAGTTGGGCAGGAGGAGCAGGCAGTCTATATTGGCACCCCACCACCACCACACCCACACCCCACGGGTGGCGGAGGGGGGAAGCGCCTCCACACCTACTGGTCCGGATTAAACCAGCTTGGCAGCCCTGGCCCATTAGCGGCTCCCACCTGAGCTGTTATCAGTCATCCACACCTCAGCGGGAAATGCCCTGGAAAGCTGACCTGTTTGCTACAGGCTTGGGAGAGGGCTCTACCAGATGGGGGCGGGCATCCGAGGGGAAGCTGCGCTCTGCTCTAGTTGGGTTCGGGCAGGTGGCTGGGACACGGGCCCTGCTCCTGTACCTCTGCTGGCTGTGCACACGCTCTCTGGGACACTCTGCTTGTGTCTCTGGTGGGCTACTACGGGGACACTACCTCCCCCTGTCCCCTCCAGGAGGAGTTGATGGCATACAGGGTACCTGGCACTGGACAGGCACTTGGGAGGTGGGTCTTGCCCAGGCCTGGGGGATTGGACCCAGGGGCCGTGGAGGCAGAGGAATACCAGAAGGTGGCTAGCCCTGGAGCCAGAAGGAGCCCCATAGGAGGCGGAACCCATCTTCTAGGGCTGGACAAAAGCGCTGGTGGCTCCCTGGGCACCCTCCAGGCTCATTGGTCCTGAACTGGAATTAGGGGTCTTGAATGACTGACCCCCCTAAAGCCACTTAGACCAGTTGTCCATGCCCACCCTCAACCCCACCGCTGCTGATGCTGCTACTGTGGAATTGGGTCCAGCAGGTGCCCAGGTAGGCAGACCTTGGCAGTGGGGCAGGACTTGAGGGTCCCCACCCTGCCTTGCTCCTGTGGGTCTTCCAGCCTCCCTGCCTGGAATGGGGTAAGTGATCCTGGCCCCCGGCAGCCCTCTCCACCCCCACTAGGCCAGGTGCAGGTGTTCAACCCTCACCACCTGTACCTCCAGCAGGGCCTGCTGGGATCCACCCACCTTCCCAGCGGCGGGCACCTCCTCTCTCTGCTCCTCTCTCTTACCTGCCAGGTGTCTGTGTCAACTCCCTTCCTGCCCTCACTGTCCCCTCTCACTCCTGCCCCACCCTAGACCCACACACTGAGGAGAGTGCCCCAGGCCTTGGCAAAACCATCTGGCACTTGTGTGTATTGGGGATCCCTTGTCCCCACAGAGCGCTGAGTGGGCGTGCCATGAAATATTGATATGGGAACCTGAAATAGCCAAGCCTGCATGTGTGCTGGAACTGGCCCGAATTAGGAACAGCAGCAGCAGGCCCTGGAGGGAGACTACTGCGGTGGAAAAATACTAAAGATGCCCAGGGCTGCCATCAGTGGGGACAGGGAGTCAGCTCTTCCAAGGACCCTCCCTCCCCCAGCAGTCCCTGACACTAGGCAGCCCCCGAGCAGGCAGCAACTAGGACCAACAGATCTCAGGCACCTGCCCACCTGCACTGTGGCCTATGTGACTTCTCTTTGTGGAGCCTCAGTGCTGCTGGCCTGTAGAGTGGGTACAATGTGAATAGAGCCTGAGCCTGGCCTGAGCTGGGGAACTCTTGAACTGTCCCTGGCTGGCTCTTGGGGGACCTGCTGGGTGCTGGGGCTGGGATGTCCCACCAGTCCCACTAACCTGAGCTGCCCCCCTTTCCCACCCAATGACACGGTGGCTTGGGGTCTGGGGCTCATTCTCCCCGATGCCTGCCCAGGCTTGTGGAGGATGCTAACTTTGTGCTTGGGGCATTGCCTTCCACGCACGGGGACTCTGGGGCTTCAGGGGACTCACAGTGTAGGAAACAGGCCCTGGAAGGCAGGTACTGTGGGGTGGGGAGTGCCCACTGCAGGTGCCAAGTTCAGTTCCCTTCCTCCCCACCACTAGGGTTGGACAGGACTCTGGCTGCTGAAGGGTCTGCATTCCAGCGCCCCTCTACCTGCCTCTGAGAGGCTGATTTCCTCTGCGTTTATTGGTCTCATATTTTCTTAAGCTCCTGCCTCTGTAGAAAGCCCTTAGGGGGCAAGGATCTGAAACAAAACATTGATTAAAATGCATAAAACACTAGCTCATTGGCAATCACTGCTTTCAAGGAGCCATAGAAACGGGAATGGGAAGGGGTGGGCAGCAGGGAGAGCAGTGCCACCCACCCCACAGCTTGGGTGACCTCAGGGGGACATGACCCCACCAGCAACTTCCCGGGACAGGGATGCTGGGGGACAGGGGGACAGCGTGTGGACAACTTTCAGGACAGCCATGTGTAAAAGGGGGAGGAAGGTACAGCAAAAGACAGCCCTACCCTCCCGCACCCCCAAGCTGCCCTGCATGTGTAACCTGGCCTGGCCATTGCTCTGTGAGTGGCAGCTGTCCCACCAGTGTGTGTCAGTTCCCCAAGTTTCCCTGCTCGGTGGACCCAACCCCACCTTCACACACATAGCCCAGCCCACATACACTCCATACCCATGCAATGCCTTTACAGGGACATTCCCCAGAATTGGTCCTATGCTGCCCTTGCCCTCCAGCAGGTGAAACAAATGCATCCAGGGTTATTGAGCCTGGGAAACAAATGCATCCAGGCATTGGGGCTCATGAAGCTTTGAAGCCTGCTCCCCTCTTCACCCAGGTCAACAGGAAGCCCTGTCCTTTGGCCAGGAGGCAAGGATCTCATGCATTCCTTTCCTCCTCCCGTGTATGTTATGGTGTCAGTTTCCCAGCTCAGCTCAGTTTTAGGATGAGATGTGTGATCTGGCAATCAGAGTCCCCATATCAATGTCCTGTAGGGATCGAGTGAGATCTGGGACAGAGGGTCCATGAGGCCCCTGAACTAGAAGGCCATCAAGCCCATGGAAGCCCAAGGCCAGATGCGCTCTCCAGAGGACAGGACGAACTTGGGATCCTGCGTGGCTGTACTGAGATGGGTGGGGAGAGTGGGGAAGGCAGGTGGGCAAATAAACGTCGCGAGTGTTATATTAATGCCTGCCCGTTAGAGGGTCCAAGGAACTGACCAGCCCGGGGGCAGGGCATGTCCTTGGTGCCCTTCCCCACCCGCCTGCTGCCAGCCCCAATTACTTATTGATTGGCTGTCAGGATGTTTGCTTTCCTGGTTGGTCACTGGAGCGTGTGTGACTATGGAAAACAGCCTGGCGTGGGGGTCGGGCTGTGGAGGGGCTGAGCCATAGAAGAATCTGGAAAGGATGAGAAGGACTTTTGGGTGGAGCTGGGGTGAACAAAGGCCTGGGGGTTGGTGAAACCTTTAACAGATTATAATACAGCAAGGAGCATCCTTTGTCTCCTCTGGTCAACGAGTGGGTCACTTAGTCAATAAGCACAAAACGGCTATTGGTCCTGGAAGTCGGGAGCTTTGGGAAGTGTATACAGTGTCACTGGACTCTGATGGGCCAGAGTTCCCATCCCACGTTCCTTCCCCCAGCCAGGACAGTAGCGGGGGATGGGGGTGTTCCCTGGGCAGCCACAATCTCTCCAGTCCCAGTGGCCTGAGCTGTTGGCAAGGATGACAAGGGCAGAAAAAGAACAGAGGCTGGGCGATGGATAAATGGACATCAAGCAGGTGGGGTGGAAGAGGGATCCTGGTGTGGCTTAGCCCAGGGACAACCATGCCATGCGGGCAGGCTCTGGACCTGGTAGTGAATGCCAGGGGCACTGGGCCAAGGAAGTAGGAGGCAGAAGCTGGGTGCACAGTAGGGCAGATGAGGGACCTGTAGCCTCTATGGGAGTCAGAGACCAAGTCAGCCTGAACCTCTGGCACTGTCTCCTGCTCCCCATGGCATGCTGCCCCGCCTACCCCACCTCACCCCACGTGCCCTCTCAGTGCCACGCCCCTCAGCCCTGATCCAGTGCTTGGGGATGGGCTGGGTAGTCTGAACTCCAGGAGGCAGCACTGCTCCCAGCAGAAGGTTGGAGTTGGGTTCAGGAGGACAGATTTCACATGCAAGAGGGAGTCCTGGGGAAGGGCCAGGACTGGGACCTGGGATAGGTGTGAGGGTGGGGGAGAGAAGGGCCATGTGGGATTTGCAGGAGCAGTGGGGGCCCAGAGGGGCTTCCAGGTAAGAAGAAGGGATGGATTGATGAGCACGAGTGGGGCCCAAGACCTTGGTCTGTGGGCTCAGCCGTCTGTGTGGAGGGGAGGGGTTCTGGGGTTGGACCCTGTGGAAGCTCAGGGCTGATGGCCCAAGCAGGGCTGAGAGCTGTTCTCTGAAACCTTGGGATCCTGTGTCATTCTGGCCTCCGAAGTTTGGAGGTCCAGGACTGGCTTCATCCCTGGTGGGCGGGCAGAGGGCATGCCTGGGCTCTCAGCTGACCCCTGGGTGCTCCAAGGGAACGGGGAGGCCTGGGCATTGGGACCCCCAGCAGGTATCATGCCCTGCTGGGTGGGGATCCTTCGGCTCAGGGTGGGCTACAGCTGCTCACTGGCCTCTCACTGCCCCCTACCTCTGTCCTGTGCTTGCCTCCCTGGCTGCAGGTGAGCGAGAGGATGCCGGCGGGGGGCGCGAGGAGTATGCCCAGCCGCCTGGTGGCCTGCTGGCAACCCATCCTCCTGCTGGTCTTGGGTTCGGTACTGTCAGGCTCAGCCATGGGCTGCCCGGCCCGCTGTGAGTGCTCCGCTCAGGACCGTGCTGTGCTGTGCCACCGCAAGCGCTTTGTGGCGGTGCCCGAGGGCATCCCTACCGAGACCCGCCTGCTGGACCTGGGCAAGAACCGCATCAAAACGCTCAATCAGGACGAGTTCGCCAGCTTCCCGCACCTGGAGGAGCTGGAACTGAATGAGAACGTCGTGAGCGCCGTGGAGCCCGGCGCCTTCAATAACCTCTACAACCTGCGGACGCTGGGGCTGCGCAGCAACCGCCTAAAGCTCATCCCACTGGGCGTCTTCACGGGCCTCAGCAACCTGACCAAGCTGGACATCAGCGAGAACAAGATCGTCATCCTGCTGGACTACATGTTCCAGGACCTGTACAACCTCAAGTCGCTCGAGGTGGGCGACAACGACCTGGTCTACATCTCGCATCGCGCCTTCAGCGGCCTGCACAGCCTGGAGCAGCTGACACTGGAAAAGTGCAACTTGACCTCCATTCCCACCGAGGCGCTGTCGCACCTGCACAGCCTCATCGTCCTGCGCCTGCGCCATCTCAACATCAACGCCATCCGGGACTACTCCTTCAAGAGGCTGTACCGCCTCAAGGTTCTGGAGGTGTCGCACTGGCCCTACCTGGATACCATGACCCCCAACTGCCTCTATGGCCTCAACCTGACCTCCCTGTCCATCACGCACTGCAACCTGACTGCCGTGCCCTACCTGGCCGTGCGCCACCTGGTCTATCTCCGCTTCCTCAACCTCTCCTACAACCCCATCGCCGCCATCGAGGGCTCCATGCTACACGAGCTCCTGCGGCTGCAGGAGCTGCAGCTGGTGGGCGGGCAGCTGGCCGTGGTGGAGCCCTACGCCTTCCGTGGTCTCAACTACCTGCGCGTGCTCAACGTCTCGGGCAACCAGCTGACCACGTTGGAGGAGTCGGCCTTCCACTCGGTGGGTAACCTGGAGACGCTTATCCTGGATGCCAACCCGCTGGCCTGTGACTGCCGCCTGCTGTGGGTCTTCCGGCGCCGCTGGCGACTCAACTTCAACCGGCAGCAGCCCACGTGCGCCACGCCTGAGTTTGTCCAAGGCAAGGAGTTCAAGGACTTCCCCGACGTGCTGCTGCCCAACTACTTCACCTGCCGCCGCGCCCGCATCCGGGACCGCAAGGCCCAGCAGGTGTTCGTGGATGAGGGCCACACGGTGCAATTCGTGTGCCGGGCTGACGGCGACCCACCGCCCGCCATCCTCTGGCTCTCGCCCCGCAAGCACTTGGTGTCGGCCAAGAGCAATGGGCGGCTCACCGTCTTCCCCGACGGCACACTCGAGGTGCGCTATGCCCAAGTCCAGGACAACGGCACCTACCTGTGCATCGCGGCCAACGCGGGCGGCAACGACTCCATGCCGGCCCACCTGCACGTGCGCAGCTACTCGCCCGACTGGCCGCACCAGCCCAACAAGACCTTCGCCTTCATCTCCAACCAGCCGGGCGAGGGGGAGGCCAACAGCACCCGCGCCACCGTGCCTTTCCCCTTCGACATCAAGACGCTCATCATCGCCACCACCATGGGCTTCATCTCCTTCCTGGGCGTCGTGCTCTTCTGCCTGGTGCTGCTTTTCCTGTGGAGCCGCGGCAAGGGCAACACCAAGCACAACATTGAGATTGAGTACGTGCCCCGCAAGTCGGATGCCGGCATCAGCTCAGCTGACGCCCCCCGCAAGTTCAACATGAAGATGATCTGAGGGCGAGCCGGGCGCGTGCGTGCACGCACGCAGGCACACACATACATACATACACACACACACACACACACACAAAATCTCTTTCGCCCCTAGCCAGCCTCTGTGGCCCACCCTTCCCCCCCGGGGCTGGCCCTGGCTTTATCTGGACCTCCCAAGTCCACAGGCCTGGAGACCCCCCCACCCACCTCCGCCCCCTGCACACGGGGGGCGCACGTGGACAGACCAGAGTCAACCCACGAGGCAAGGTGACCTGCCACAGCGTCAACCATTCAGTTAAAAAAAAAAAAGTTACGAACTTCCTCTGTAACTTGGGTTTCAATAATTAATGGATTTTTATGAAAACTTGAAATAATAAAACAAAAAAAAAAAAGAAAACTCTCCTAGAGCTGGTCGGAATGCACTTCTCACGTCCTGAGCGCCCCTGAGCCCTCTTCCAGCTCACTTTATTTTTCTCCTCCTCTTCCTCCTCCTTTCTCTTCCCTTCCCCTGTGGGGAGGGATTACTCAGGAAAACAGGAAAGGAGGTCCCAGCTCCGATGGCCAACCCCTGCCAGGATGCCCCCTGGGAGCGGGCTGGTGAGTGACAGGTCTGGGCCCAGCTCTGCAGCTGGCCACTTGCAGGGAGGCGACAGGCCAGAGCCGATGGCAACGTGGGGGCAGGGGGGCCCGTGGGCTGGGACCCCCGGGGCAGCAATACCACTGGGAGGGGCGTAGTCAGGGGGTATGGCTGGGACTCCAGAAGGGCTGCGGTCCTCCTGGGGACAGCATGGGCCAGTGGAGAGAGAGAGCCTCGGGTCCCATCTCTGCCTCTCGCCGCTGCGTGGCCTCGAGCAGGTCATCGCCTCCCCACCCCTCTCTCTCGGGGCCTCAGCCTCCAGCTCTGTACAAATGGGAACATTCCACCCGCCCTGCCTACCTCACAGGGCTGTTGTGAGGAACTGACAGCTAATGTATGTGAGACACTTTGTAATCTGTAAAGCTCTGTGCACATGTGTGGGTGACTGCTCTTGTGATGCTCATTCTTATCTCATTGTTGCGGGGGGCCCTGGGGGGGGAGGGGGCTGCAGAGGGGCGGGTCACTCCCCTCACTCCTTTCCTGAGTTCCCTCCAGCTTTAGCCTGGGGATTTGCAGGGAAAGCAGAACCAGGTTTTCTTCAAGTCCTTCCCACCCCACTGCATGCATTTATGGAGCACCTGCTGTATGCCATGACTCCGTGGGGATTGTCCAGTCTGAGGGGCAGGAGCTCAGCTCTGGATCCAGGTTGTTCTGCCCTCTTCCCCTCTTCCAGCAGGCCTGGCCTCTCCTGGGCTCTTGAACGGGCTGAGGATAGGGTTAGGAAGGACTTCCCTGATGTGAATGGGTCCTGGCCCCAGTAGGAAGATCCACCCTGGCCCTGCCCTTCAGCACCTCTAGCTTGGAGGTAGACAGTCAGGTGGGTCACCTGGTAGCCAGCCTGGCACCTGTGGTCTTATTTCAAGAAGCTGTCCACTGGCTCAGCCAGCGGACCATGTGCCCTCACCATGTTATGGCAGGCAGGGAGGGGGTCTGGGGCCAGGGGTGGGGGGACCAGCTTGCTCATCACCCTGGTGACTCTTGGGTTCCCCTGCAGCCGGTAGCAGATGCAAGGCACCCCTATGGTGCTCCTGCGGCAGGAGAAGCTTCTAGAACACAGCTCTTCCTGTCGGGGCTCTTCCCATGCCTCCCTGAGCTCTAAGCGTGCCTGTGGCTGGCGGCCAGGCGGGCATTTCCCTTCTCGCTTGCAGACAATCCTGAGAGGTGCTGATAGTGGCTGCTGGGCACACCTGCTCTGGCCCCACCAGAAAGATCTTCCATCCACTGATTCACTCCCCTAATGTCCTCAGTGGCTGGAGCTGAGCAGGAGCCAGGAGCTCCATCTGGGTCTCCCATGTGGGTATAGGACCCCAAGGCTTTGGGCCATCCTCTGCTGCTTTCCCAGGCTACAAGCAAGGAGCTGGAAGGGAAGTAGAGCATCTGGGACACAAACTGGTGCCCATGTGGGATGCTAGTGCTAGCAGGTGGAAGATTAGCTAGTTGAGCCACCATGCCAGCTCTTAAGGTACAGATTTTTAAACCTGGCTTGAGCTGGGCAGGGTACCACTTGGGGAAGCAATAGAGAGACTTGAGCCTGCATGCAACATCAGGCCAGCGGTGACACATGAGGCTCCACACCCTCACTGACTTGCCCACCTGCAAGGCCGCACATGGACCCCTCCTCCATTGTCCTGCCAGCCTTAAGTCCCAGCTGTGCCATCCACCATGCCAGGTGTGCCAGGTGGCCTGGTCTGAGCCCCTCTGGGATGCGGTGGGATCCAGGGCCAGTGTTTTTCTGAATCCTGGGCTGGCAGCAGCCCCTGGGGAAGCCCAAAGTGGTGGGGCTATCCTCTGGTGGTTCTCAGAGTGGGGAGGGTAAGCTTGGAGAGTTGTGAGTACATGGAAGGGGAGGGGACAACGGGCTGAGTTTGATTCCCATACAGAAACCCTGTCCTAGGCAATGGCCTTGACTACCACTGAGAAGCCTGCTGGGCAGGTCCAGGGTGGGAACAGGGGATATGGGAAAGCCACACTGCCTGGGCCACTCGCCCTCTTTCCCTGGCACAAGCACAGCTGGATCCTGAAGCCAGAAAGAGGTGGGCTAACAGTCCTAGGCCTTCCTGGACCACCCACATTCCACACAGGTCAGACCCCATGGGCACCTGGGGTGTGGTGCCTTACCCTCTGCACTGGCCACTCTGCTCGCCCTTATGCCTGGGGTCAAAGGCATGAGGCTGGAGGAGGGAGCTCCTGAGGAGCAGGCCAGATAGGGAGACCTACTGTCCAGGAGTGCAGGCCTGGAGTCACCTACAGGCAGTGGTGTCTTACAGAGGCAGCCCATAAAACCTGGCACCTACCCTCACCTAATGGAGGGCCTCTCACACAGTCAGGACGTGAGCTTTGTTCAGATCCCATCCCCCCACAGCATCCCAGGTGCAGATGGGGGCTGAAGAGAGCTTGAGGAGACCACAGGCAGGACACTGAAGCGTCCCCCTGACTGGGTGTGGCATGGACTGGGAGGAGGGAATATGGGGGTGGGGGGACCTCTACAGGGCCCCCAAAGAACTGAAGTCCCAAATGAGATTGGGGACTCCAAATCTGGTCTCTGTGGGCAGTCTGGGACTGCAGAACAGCCATACCCTGTGCCCCAGAGGACCAGGCTACACTTGTGTGTTTCCAACAACCAAAGAACCTTGAGTGTTTATAGAGTCTGAAGCTGTCATTCCTGGACCAGGAGCCAGGGCAGCTCGGAGCAGCTAGCTTGAAGGTGTTTCTTGGTATCCTGGGGCACTCCTGCCCCCAGGGGTGCCATTTTCTCTGCTCCTCTGCCATCCTTGAACACTGGGCAGCCCTGGCTGCCTCCTTTGCAGCCCACCTGACCACAGCCTCACCTCAGGCAAGCTCTCCAGGGAGAAAATCTTGATTGGTCACTTCACAGCTTGGCTTGGCTGCTTCCTAGACACCTGCCGACACCTCGTCCAATCAGCTGCAGCCGTGGCTTGGCAGCTCTCGTCCAGAGCCACAGTCAGGATGTAATTGGGCCAGAAGGGCCTGAGACGCTGGGTTGACTCCTCTAGCTGCAGCCTCATGAGCCCCAGTGGTCTGTCCCCAGAGCTGTGTCTTTTCCATAGCAGGCAGAAGTTCTGGGCTAGTTACTCAGTTTGTCCATAGCTCCTGTCGGAACCAGGCCAGAAGCTTGCCCTCTTTCCTCTCACCTCGTAGACCTGTTCTCGGTGAATAGGGGTATATAGGGAGTGGAGATGCAGGCTGGGGAGGTGACACATTCTAGGGCACCCACTGCTATGCTTGATGGGACAGGGTACAACCACAAAGTGCACTCAGAAAACCTACCCGTGGGAAATCCAGTGTAGGGGAGAGCAGCTGGAGGTGGCCCTGACCTTGCTTGATAACTTTTAGCTTGTTAAAAAAATAATAATAATCGTGGGATCCTAAAAGGGGCAAAGCACAAGCACAGAGCATCCTGACCCCCACCATCTCCAGTATAATCTCAGGACCCTCTTAGGGCAGGGCGGGGGTAGGGGTACCCTCCTGGAAGTCTGACCCCACAGCAGGAGTCCACAAGAATTGTTGTGTCTCACACACACACACACACACACACACACACACACACACACAACCCAGGGCAAGCAAGGCCTTCGGGTTGGGGGACTAGTCATTCTGGCTCCAGACTGGGCAGCCCCTGTGGTAGGCTGGGGGATGGGCCAGACGTGGTCCAGGTGGGAGTGGTTGCCAGGCAGGAGGCAGGGGAGGGCCCAGTGGTGGGGCCAAGCCCACGCTGGAACTGCCCCTTTGTTTATCAGGATGTGGCATCCTCAGTAATACCATCCCCAAGGCCTGGATGGGAGTTGGGATTGACCCAGCTGGTGTTGGCTTCTTATAGGCTCCCAGGAAGGGTCAGCCCAGAGTTGCCTGGCAACTCAACTAAGCATGTCCACCTCCCGGAGTTTCTGGGCAGGCAAAACTCTGTGTCGTCCGAGCTCTTCCCAGGCAGACAGGGTAAGCCCTGCCCCGTTGCCTCATTGTCCCTCTTTACAGCTTCAGTCACCCCCATGGGCTCCCAGCACCCGCATGGACCAGGCAGCCTCCAAGGGGTGGCTGGGGGTTTGCTGCCCAACAGTGAATGCAGGAGGGGCCCCCAGCAGGGAGGTCCCAAAGGAGCTTGACCACCCCTGGCAGGTGCCCAGCTGGCCACGAGCCCAAAGGACAAGCTGTTCCTTTTCCTGTACAGCAGCTGGGCCGGGACAGAGACCCTGCAAGATTGATGGGCACCTGTGGCCATCCAGAGGCGGGGAGATGCAGGCAGTGCAGGGCAGACAGGGAAGCAGTGGAGTGTCCTGTGCTGAAGCCAAGTGCATGATGAGGCCAGGATGGGTACCCAGGGCCTTCTCTGGGCCCCCCAGAAAACTTTCCAAACACATCTGTAGGAAACCAAGAAAGTGAGGAATACATCTAGTGAGTGACTTGGAGCTGTGGTGCCCAGGATCCCTTAGGCAGTGGCAGCTAAGGCACAGTTACCCATCAGAGAAGGGACACACAGAGATCAAAAGCAGAGGACGGCTTTGCCAGGGTCCCTGGCCCTGTGTCCCAGCTCCCCTGATTCTGGAAGAGGTAAATGGGTTTTGGGCACTCCCCTGCCTCACCGTTGGAACCCCTGTGTTGGGGACAGACTCCTCCCTCCAACTCCCACCCTCTGTTGGCTCCAGGCAAGTAAAGGGCTAGGGTGGCTATGGGGCGATAGGTTGCTCTGCAGAGCACCTTCCCAGCACTGGGGAGCTATGGAGGGT